TTTTTTTTTTTTTTTGGTAAGTATTTTTTTGCTTTTAAATTTTTTTTCTTCCTTTTTTCTGTAGGTTTTTTTTTTCCTCTTTTTTTGGCAAAGTGCAACCACACCTGGTTACCACAGTTTTGACATGGCTGAAGGTGCAAGTGTGACAAGAAACCTTGAGTTCAGTTCAGGGTTCCCCTGCAGTTCTCAGAGCCACAGAGACACGGGATTTTTACATCCTCAATGGGAAACTTGTAGTCGTAGGTAATTTCCTCGTTCACATTGATGTGCTGCTTGGAGTAGATAACGATCTTCTTTTGAGACTCCACAGTGATCACTTTAGCATAACAATTTGGCTGCAAGGGTGACAGAACAGGTGATGATGAGGGCCGGGGCTTCCCAGTCTCCCCAGAATTATTTCAAGATAAAATAAAACAGGGCAGTCCTTTCCCGAGACAACCCCAGCCACACTTTCAGAGCCTGGACTTAGGGCAAGCCTAGGCAGGGAGGCGTGAAGCCAGAAAACACAGCAGCCCTCCTTGTGCTGCTCCAAAATATCCACATTCTGGTCATTTGTGGAGCAAAACAGCCTGGATGCTGCTCCATCAATTTTGTCACAGGCTAAGAGAAGCTCAGTGCTTAACAATTTGGCCAGGCAGGCAAGTCTGAGTGCAGACTGCAGCGCAGAGCACAGGGGGAAACATCAGGGAATAATTTCCCATGCAGACACTAGAAGGAGACTGTTCCCACAGCTGAAATTTGGTATGTTTTAAGGAAATGTTTGTTAGAATTGCTTGCTCAGTGTCCATCAGGGTCTCCTGAGACAGCCAGAAGGGCTCTTGAGTGCACTCAGTCTCCCTGCGTGTTTCATTCCTCAGGTCTCTCCAACCTCTTTACACTACTCTAGACCCTGCTCTGATCTGCTGCGGCTCATTAACATTTAATCACAACCCTGCGACCCCCTGCCACTTCTGAGCACCCCAATCAGGGCTGGCAGGGCCTCCCTGGTTTGTCAGCGTGCCAGGGAACAGTGACAGCTGAGAGCACCATACTCACATTGCAGCTGTGATTGATGAACCTGGCGAAGTTCCCGCATTTGGTGGCATCGATGATGGTGTCGTGGTCCACTCTGAACATGTAACTGCTGCCAATGCCCTCGTCCTCGTATCGCTTCTCACGCATGTCAGCAATGACCTGC